TGTGTCCCCAGGTGTCCCCCTTCCCCAGGTGTGTCCCCAGATGTGTCCCCAGGTGTGTCCCCCTTGCCCAGGTGTGTCCCCCCACCCCAGCTGTGTCCCCAGGTGTGTCCCCCTTCCCCAGGTGTGTCCCCAGGTGTGTCCCCGTGCCCCGGCCGTGCCCTCACCAGGGTGAAGCCGTCGTAGATCTGCATGAGCTCCTCAGTCTTGTACTGCTCGAGGACGATGACCCCGGCCAGGCCGCCCGCGCGGCGCCGGGCGCAGCCCTCGCAGTGCACCAGGTACGTGTTGCGCCCGCCCGTCTCGCTCGTCACGAACAGGATGTTGAACACCTCCACCTGAGGGGGCACCGGGGGCGGGGGCACCTCGTGGGCGGGGGCACCCCACAGCCAATGGAACAGCCAAGGGAACGGCCAAGGGAACGGCCAAGGGCACCCCATGGCCAAGGGAAAGACCAAGGGCGTGGCCATGGCCAAGGGAACAGCCAAGGGCACCCCATGGCCAAGGGAACGACCAAGGGAAAGACCAAGGGCATGGCCATGGCCAATGGAACAGTCAAGGGCACCCCATGGCCAATGGAACAGTCAAGGGAACAACCAAGGGCATGGCCATGGCCAATGGAACAGCCAAGGGCACCCCATGGCCAAAGGAACAGCCAATGGAACAGCCAAGGGTATGGCCATGGTCAAGGGAACAGCCAAGGGAACGACCAAGGGCGTGGCCATGGCCAAGGGAACAGCCAAGGGCGCTCCATGGCCAATGGAACAGCCAAGGGAACAGCCAAGGGCATGGCCATGGCCAAGGGAACAGCCAAGGGCACCCCATGGCCAAGGGAACGACCAAGGGAACGACCAAGGGCATGGCTATGGCCAAGGGAACAGCCAAGGGAAAGACCAAGGGCATGGCCATGGCCAAGGGAACAGCCAAGGGAATGACAAGGGCATGGCCATGGCCAATGGAACAGCCAAGGGAACCCCATGGCCAAAGGAACAGCCAATGGAACAGCCAAGGGCATGGCCATGGCCAAGGGAACAGCCAAGGGCATGGCCATGGCAATGGAACAGCCAAGGGCATGGCCATGGCCAAGGGAACAGCCAAGGGAATGACCAAGGGCACCCCATGGCCAAGGGAAGAGCCAAGGGAACGACTGAGGGCATGGCCATGGCCAATGGAACAGCCAAGGGCACCCCATGGCCAACGAACAGCCAATGGCACAGCCAAGGGCACAGCCAAGGACACTCTATGGCCAAGAGCATGACCATGGCCAACAGCACCCCATGGCCATGGCCAAGGGCACAGACAAGGGCACCCCATGGCCAGTAGACAGCTCTGGCCATGGCCAATGGCGCCCCAGGGCCAAAGGCACGGCCAGAGGCACCCCATGGCCAATGGAAGAGCTCTGGCCATGGCCAACGGCGGCCAAGGGCACGGCCAGGGGCACCCCATGGCCAATGGAAGAGCTCTGGCCATGGCCAATGGCACCCCATGGCCAAGGGCACGGCCAGGGGCACCCCAAGGGTCACGGCCAAGGTCAGGCCCCCACCCAGGCCCCCCGTGCAGCCCCCGGCACTCACGTCACACTCGTTGCAGTAATAGGCCGGCTCGTCCTTCACCCGGCCCTGGTAGGCGATTTTCTTGCCCGCGCGCACGAGGCTCTCGCGCTGCACCTGGCAGTGCTTGATGGACTGCAACAGGCAGTACCTGCAGGGGACACGGGGACACAGGGACACTGGCACCGGCTGGCACCCACCGACACCCACACGCACCCATCAACACCCCCACGGTCACCTACTGACACCCACTGTCACCCACTGTCACCTACTGACACCCATCAACAACACCCACTGTCACCTACTGACACCCACCAACACCCACTGTCACCCATCAACACCCACAGTCACCCATCAACACCCACTGTCACCTACTGACACCCACTGTCACCCACCAACACCCACAGTCACCCATCAGCACCCACAGTCACCCACTGACACCCGTTGACACCCACTGACACCCCTCCCTGTCCCTGTCCCCATGTCCCCACTCCCAAATGTTGATGTCGCCCGTCTGTGTCCCCGTCTCTCCGTGTCCCCACATGTCCCCTGCCCTGTCCCCATTCCTGTGTCCCCACCCCATCCACGTCCCCACACGTCCCTCCCCTGTCCATGTCCCCCTTCCCCCCTCGTCCCCAAATGTCCCTCCCCTGTCCATGTCCCCCTTTCCCTCACGTCCCCACATATCCCTCCCCTGTCCATGTCCCCCCTGTCCCCACATGTCCCTCCCCTGCCTGTGTCACCCTTCCCTTCCTGTCCCTTGTGTCCCTCCCCTGTCCATATCCCCCCGTGTCCCCCCCCGTGTCCTTCATGTCCCTCCCTTGTCCATGTGCCCCTTCC